GTGACTATGGATTTTAAATTTTTTTCATCTGCCTTTGAAACAATATAATAGGAGCCTTATATTAAACATTTTCAAGCTTTTTTAACCAACATATAAATCTCCATTGATATTTATAGAAAAAAAATGTAAACTGAAAATGTCCGTAAACAGCTCAAAATTTTTGGAAAATGTTATGGTGTACAGAAAATGCCAATATAAACGTTCAGACAAAATATTATGTACTTAAGGTTATTTGTTTTTGAGTTGCACCAAAAACCAAAATCGATTTTCTCAAAAACAGATTTTGCTTAAAAATTCTAGTTTTCCTTAATTTTTCTTTTGTTTTTCACATCGCTTTTGAAAACTACTGGAAAAATTTTACTTTTGACCACACAAAGTACCAACTAGATTCACTTTCCTTTCAGAAAAGATACTGTTGAAGAAAATCGAAGCACTTTTGCTATCCTAAAAGGTGATGTCAGACACAAAAAAAAAACACACACATCATTGTAAAACCAATACATTCATCGTTTCACTCAGAATCTAAAAATAACTCGTTAATTTCACGTTAATTAAAAAAGAAATTTAGTAAGTTAACAGTTAGGTTATTAAATAGCCAAAAGTAACCAGTTAAGTTAAAAAGTTAAAATTAAGTTAACTTCTTAACTCGTTAATTCCCAGCCTTGCAATTTGATCTCGTTGTTTTCATTTTATTTTTTATAAAAATTCATATTGTACATAACACACACGGTGGCCCAGAACTGTGTCTCTGCTTAGGAAAACGGGTAATCTCGGTGTTTCACCTCGTATGTCGTATTTATGATTATAGTATTTTACGAAGTACCTATACAAAGTATTTGGCGAAATAAAACTTTGCATTCACCTCTATAACATAATAACCGGCATAGTTCTACATTAGTTTCTCTATCGTGTACCTAACCGTAGTAGTAGGTAGGTATACCCTATTATTATGTATAGTGAATATTAATTAGTAAAATACTATATTATAATATATATTATACTAGAATCGATAATTACGCATATTTACTAAATTCTGTAAAGCAATATTATGTTATATTATTATTTACTATGTGTACATGAAATATGTTACCGTACATTTATTTTCATATCGATTGAGCGCTATAGGGACCTATATTGGCTATTATAAACACAACGTAGATTACGTACTGGTATATTGTATATTATATACGAGCTTTATACATTTTACAACGATTCGAATAATTTTATATACAAACGCAATAACGCATAATATTATTTGTTTTATAATGAGAATAAAATTTATGTTTATACCTATTTTTAAAAAAAAATGTGAAGTTTATCGTTTTTAATTGAGATTATATATTCACCTTATATTAGTTTTTTTTATAGCGACTTGCATGACGTAAAATAAATGTACCTATACAGAATAAACACTATACCTAATAGTTCCGTAACTACAGGTGCTTCGGGGCATCAAATTTAGAAATCGAAGCCTACTATCGTACCTAAATGTATTTTTCTCGTATTATACACCTGCACATTATATTATATTATAGCTAAATAAATTAGTCATATTTCGTTAGATACAATAATATTATTAGAAATACCTTATAAGCCTATAAGTAATTTATTTTTCTTTTGGTATTAAAGATTAAATCAATTTTTGTAAAAACAATTAATCACATAGGCATATAATATAATAATCAATAGTTATAATATTACTTGTTGCTATAATAACTTATAAGTCAATACAGACATAGCTGGTATTTAATATCTATAGTAGAACGGTGTGAATAAGTTTGTGATATAAATATCTTAAAACGCCATTGGTTATATAGTAAATAATAATTAACCATTAGAGAAAAGTTTCAAGTCCATATCAATATTTTTTTTTGACCAAAATTATTATTTTCCTTTAAATATCTAATTTTGTTAAAATGTGAAATACTGAAATAAAAAGAAATTATGCATTAATGTATTTTTTAGATTTTTATAGGTAACTTATATTATGTGAGTTGTCAGTTGTGAGTTATAAGTTATTTATTTATTTATTTATTTATTTATTTAATATAAACGGACGTGAGTCCTAAAACATAATAATATTACATTGTGAGTGAAAAAACTCATTAATACGTAAAACAATAATTAATAGTTTCTACTTAAAATTAGAGAAAGAATAAAATAATAATGCTAAATTAGAAATAGAATACAAATCAAATATAAAAATTATTATTTAAATATAATCAAAGACAAAAGTATTACCTGCAGTCATAAGAAGGTTAGCAGGAGAGTTCAAGATATAATTTTTTGTTGAAAAAAGTGGATAAAAGGGTTTTGGATCTCTAGTATTAAGGTAATTAATTTTAAAACGGATTAAAGAGAGAATTTCAGGACAATCTATTGAACCTAAAATTAGTTTTTGTAAAAATTTAGAGAGTAAAAGTGTACGACGGTCAGACAGTAGAGAAATATTAAGAAAATTTAAAACATTATCATATGAGCCGTGGACAGGTCTGTTTATGTTAAATTTAAAAGAGATAAAACGTAAAAAATTATTTTGGACAGATTCCAGCGTAAGAGCCTGTTTCGACGTACTATTTATCCAGATGAGGGGGCAGTACTCTAAATTAGAACGGACAAGAGAGAAGTAGAGGATTTTTAGGGGAATAGGATCTGAAAATCCAGCACAAGTACGCTTAATAAACCCTAAGTTACGAAAAGCTTTATTTTTAATCATTTCAGTATGCAGAGAAAAATTTAATTTACGATCAAAAATTATACCCAAATCTTTAAATTGATTAACAAGCTCGACATTTGTGCCAGAAATTGAGTACTGAGAGTTAACGGGATTATTAGTTAGGTAAAATTTCATAAATTTACATTTTTGTATATTTAAAAATAGATTATTCTCATTACACCATAAAATGAGGTTATTAATGTCTAATTGCAAATTAAAAGCGTCTTGTTCTGATTTAATAATTTTTACTAATTTTGCATCATCGGCAAATAGAAGGATATTAGAATTAGTTATGACATTGGGAAGATCATTTATAAATATATTAAAAAGAAGAGTTGACAGGTGGTCACCTTGAGGAACACCAGATGGTATATTAAACTGTGTAGAGGTAAAATTTAGATATTTAACGATTTGGTGCCGACCTGATAGGAATGATTGAAACCAATTTAGTAGAGAACCTGAAAAACCAAATATTTGTAATTTTTTAATAAGAATAGCATGATTTACCTGGTCAAATGCCTTAGAAAAATCGGTATAAATAATATCAGTTTGCGCATTTAATTCAAAAGAATTAAGGATTATGTTTTTTACCACAGCTAAATTATTACAGGAAGATCGCTTGGGAGTAAATCCATATTGATGATTTGATAGTAAGGAAGAACAGTAGCTTGATAATTTTGAGGAGACTAACTGCGAAAATAATTTCGGGATAATAGATAACTTAGAGATAGGACGATAGTTCGAAATTAATGAAGGGTCGCCTTTTTTTAAAATTGGAGAAATAAAAGAAGTTTTCCAAATAGAAGGGAATAAACCTTTTTCGAGTGATAACTTAAAGATATTTGTTAATATTGGAGTTAAGATAAATCTACAGTTATAGAGGAATATAGAGGGTATACCATCTGGGCCTACATTAGAGTTAAGTTTGATATTAGAGATTAAGTTAAGTACATCTAATTCAGTGAAGGAGATAGAATTTAGATTTATATCGGAATTTAAATTAATTTTATTAATATTTAGAGAAGAAGAATTAGGTGGCTGTTGAATATTAGAATAGGAATCTGAAAAATATTTCGCAAAAATATTAACAATATCAGTACCATTATTAACTATCGTTGTATCTAAAGATAAAGATTTAGGAAGTGCATTATTATTGGTAACATCATAAAAGACCAAAAATATTTTGGGTTATTTTTTATAGAGTGTTGAACATTATTTATATAATTTTTATAATCAGACTTAGCGAGCCTTTTACATTTAGCTCTTAAATGTGAAAAAGTAATATAGTCAGAGATATTATTGTATTGTTTATAGACAAGGTGACAGATTTTTTTCTCTTTTAATAGCGATTTCAAAGAATTTGAATACCAAATTGGGTAAGTATTATTATATATACGTCTTTTAGGAACAAAAATATTTATAGAATCATGCAAGATCATATAGAGACGATCAACTACGCCGTTAACATCTGAGGAGATAGAGTTAATGATATTAAGTGAGTCGCCAATGTATTTAACGATTTTGACATAATCACAATTTTTAAAATCGTAAATTATATCATAAGTAGTCGATAAGATATTAAATTGTTCATATTTCAACGTGATATTAAGTGCTGGGTGGTGTTTATCAATAGGCAACAATGGGTCAGGTTCATTAGAGACGGATAGGTGGATATTAGATAAGACTAAATCTAGAGTAACGTTATTGTTATTACGTAATAAATTAAATTGATTAAAATTAAACTGTGATAACATACTAATAAAATAAGAATCAATTGGAGAATTACATATTATTGGCAACGAATAAAGTGACCAATTTAAAGAGGGGAGATTAAAATCACCTAACAAGACAAATTTAGCTTTCGGGTTTGAAATAAAAAGTTCATTGACTGCTTTAAAAAATTGTTCATAAAGTGTTATAGGAGAGAGAGGAGGAATATAAACGCAACCTAGAATCAAAATATTAGGACCTAAATTAATTAACACAAATACATGTTCAACACTTTTAACAGAAACATTTAAGACTTTACAAATTAAGGTTGATTTAACTGCAATTAATACACCACCACCACGACCACTTGAGCTGTTGAGTGAAGATCTATCACAACGAAAAACTGTGTAATTAGAGAAGTTGAGTTCAGACGTAGATATAGATGGATAGAGCCAGGTTTCCGTGAAAGCGATGATATCCAGACCGGAAGTGCATAAAAGTGGAGTAAGAGTATTTAATTTTGACACTAGACTTCTAACATTTTGATAATAAAGTTGGAATTCGGTAAAACTTATTAGTTTTTTTGGACCGCGGAATTAACAATAGATGGAATGCCCTTGACGTATTTTATTGTTAGATTTGACTCACCATCCGAACGTCTCATATCTAATTCTTTACGCAGATTTTGAAAATACAAACGTTGTTTGGGAGTCTTGTCACTTGTTATTCTAACCGCATTGAAAATTTGATCAGATTTAAGTTTTCTCGAAGAACCCAAGGTCTTGAAAACATCAGAGGCGGAAGCTAGTGAAATTTTCAAAGGGCGAATCTTACCGTCAAATTTTCCGAGTCTCTGAATTGTGATCGGTTTAATGTCCAAAGCGAGTTTAGTAAAAATAAGATCGACTGTTGAGGAGTCCGAGTTATTGGTATCATCGGGCGCGTCAGGAACATTAAACAAAATTACATTTTTAGAGCGGGCTTGGCGGTCAACGAAGTCCGAGAATGAGTCTTCATCTGGAGTGGAGCGGTTAAGTTCAATGGACTCAAGTCGAGCTGTTAAACTATTTAAATTATTATGGAGAAGAATATTGTCATCTTTGATTGTGGCTAATTGGGAAAAAACTTCGGTGAATTTTCGTTCAAACGCGTCTAATTTCGCAGTTTGTTTGTTAACGAGATTTATCAGTTTAGATTGTTCAAATTTTAAGAGGTTTAACTGTTTTAAGATCAACTTAACATCCGGTGAGGAAATATTGTCAGACTGGGTGTCTGATTTAGAATCTTTTTCTGGTTTTTTTGTACAGTTTGAACATGACCAATTTTTTTTTATAGAATTTAAATAGTCAATATCATCCTGATTAATTTTAACGCACTGTATGTGAAAAATACCATTACACGATAAACAGGTAATCGACCCGGTTTCACCTCGTTTTAAAGTAATCGCACAGACAACACACGAAACCATTATTAATATTAGGAACAAAGATAAGCGACGATACAACAAGATTACGTATAAACGTGTGCACACGACAACGGTTCGAAAACGACTTATGACTTAGGGGAACCTTGTTTTAAATTTTCAAACCGTTTTGAGCATACAGGTAAACCACAATACGTCTAACATAAATTGTTCACACTTATGACATAAGTATAAATGTATAATATGTTGGGATCAAGAATATGATTCACATATTTATGAGCTAAAAATATGGACTCTAAATAGGCTAATTTAAGTCCATGTATTACAATATCATAAACAATAATTCTGTATATTTAGAACTCATAATATAATGTACCACGCATTTATATAAATTATATTTTAGAAATATTCTATTAAGCTTATACAAGTTAAAGTTTAATCTAGCCAATGGGAATAATTCATATAATACCCGTTATACAAAAAATATCAATACTTGTGTACCTACCAACATAAACAAAAAAAGCTTGGACTTACTATAGCTCCATATTTGTTGATAGCCAAATATTATTTAGACAACTTAAAATCAATATTTATAATTTTAACAATGTATATTTATTAATTATTTGTCATTTTTAAAAAGCTAAATTTGTCAAAAATATACTTATATATAAAAAAAAAATTATGATAGATAAAAATTAACCATTATACTATTCATTAGTTTTAATGAAATTTTCATTGGTTAAAATGTTTTATTTTTCTGTATAAATATCACTTAGCTTAAAACTTTAGTATTGTAGGTACTTAACCCAAACTTTTTTTTTTTTAATTTATATTTATACCCTAGGCAACATGGGCTATTGGGCTTACAGGGAGAAAATTATAAATTACATAAATTGTATACTAAATCTAAGTTACACTAAATTTTAGTTTGAAGATTGGGGTCTGTGATGAATTGGATAATGTTGGCTATGGATTGAGGGAGATTGCTTAGTATTTCGGATAGTGATTCAGGCAGGTTGTGGCTTATTCAGGTGTTGTGGTATGTTCAGCATTCAGTGAGAATGTGGCTGATGATGACTTGGACACCTCAGGATGTGCACATTGGGGGTTCTTCCTTGGCCATTAGGAAACTGTGGGAGATTTTCGTGTGTCCAATTCTAAGTCTAGTTATTATGACTTCGAATTTTCTATGAATTTCGATAGGAAATGTCCAATTGTTGGTGTTATGTTTTATATGATTTAATTTAGTGTAATATGATGTCCACTTTTAACCCAACCTTATATACAGAAACATTATACTAAAGGGGAGTTTCAAACATATTATTATAGCTATTATTATTTATTATATATTTATATCATTGTATGTACCTACTTATTTGTTTAGCTAAATCAATTTTATATTATTATTAGTCTATGCGTAATTATTATTATTGTTTTTTTTTTACTGTTCTTAATTAACATCAGCTACAATGGCCATTAGTTACAATTTACAATTACAATTTTGTTTTTAATTTTATTATACAGTTTAGTTTTGTGTAAGAATTTAAGAATTTGTGTGATGGTGTCTGCGTCTGGTCCGAGGCTACGTCTGTAATTATTATTGTCTGTTAGTATATTGAAATAGATATTCGTCACAATACTTTAAGGGCTACCTAACTTTATTATATTGTTAATCACCGGAGCAAATTTAACCAGAAACTTAAAATGTAATTCATCTAGTCATATAGTTTTATAAAATATAATATTTAAATATGAAGAATAAATATCTCATTGAATTATTGAACTATTCCAAGTTCTAACTGCAGATATAATAGATAAACGATGACAGGTAGCCAGGTAGGTAAATAGAATTTTCAATATAGATCTCTTAATGGGCTCCGACTAAATACAATTTCGTATTCAGAAAAGAATTCAAGATTGAATAATTTTTTACTATAAAACTTGTACCTACGCATACACAAAAAACACACGTCATTGTAAAATCAATACATCCATACTTCATAGTTCATACATCCATACTTCACCTGAAAGTTTAGGTATAATGAGCACTGCAGGTCTGCAATATATAATACGAATCGAAACACAAGTCCTTGTTCAAGTATTATAGTTTAATATATTATTATAACTACGTGTATATATCATTAATAATGGTCTTGGAAAAATAAACGGGCCCGAAATCCTAACGATTGTTGATTAGAAGTTAGAACAAACGACTTCGCAACGACCATACTCGCGTCATCGTTGTGTATCCGTCGTCTGGGAAATGAGGTGTGTTACCCTGGCACCCCAAGTTCAAAATTTTGACTTGAAAACTGTGTGGTATTATGTTATTTATTATGTAACATTTTGTAACCGCAAAAAAAAATTTTGTAACCACATCGGTGCCCCGGAAAACGGCGATACAAGTTCCGGGTGCCAGGGTAACGTTACCCCAGCACCCCAAACATTAAATAATTAAAATTTCGACTTGAAAACTGTGTGGTATTATGTTATTTATTATGTAACATTTTGTAACCGCAAAAAAAAATTTTGTAACCACATCGGTGCCCCGGAAAACGGCGATACAAGTTCCGGGTGCCAGGGTAACGTTACCCCAGCACCCCAAACATTAAATAATTAAAATTTCGACTTGAAAACTGTGTGGTATTATGTTATTTATTATGTAACATTTTGTAACCGCAAAAAAAAATTTTGTAACCACATCGGTGCCCCGGAAAACGGCGATACAAGTTCCGGGTGCCAGGGTAACGTTACCCCAGCACCCCAAACATTAAATAATTAAAATTTCGACTTGAAAACTGTGTGGTATTATGTTATTTATTATGTAACATTTTGTAACCGCAAAAAAAAATTTTGTAACCACATCGGTGCCCCGGAAAACGGCGATACAAATTCCGGGTGCCAGGGTAACGTTACCCCAGCACCCCAAACATTAAATAATTAAAATTTCGACTTGAAAACTGTGAGGTATTATGTTATTTATTATGTAACATTTTGTAACCGCAAAAAAAAATTTTGTAACCACATCGGTGCCCCGGAAAACGGCGATACAAGTTCCGGGTGCCAGGGTAACGTTATCCCAGCACCCCAAACATTAAATAATTAAAATTTCGACTTGAAAACTGTGTGGTATTATGTTATTTATTATGTAATATTTTGTAACCGCAAAAAAACATGTCCTGGTTTTACCAAGATACTACCACGATTTAAGGTTTAATATTTTATGTATTTATAAAATATGGTGTATTTAATAGGTGTACACATTCTTGTTCGTCATCAAATGATAGAATGAATGAAAATATTACAAAAACTACCTTAGTATTAAAAACACTTCTTTTAAGTTGTATGTCCAGCCGATCCCGTCCACTTCGTTGTTGTCCACTTCTTTTTTTTTTTTTTTTACCAACTCTATTTGACTCAAACTTTTTTCAATTCGTTATAATCTTAACTTTTCCGTTACCCGGAATATAAAATCTGGTTCGCAGCAGTATATTATCAGGTAAGAAATCCCTGAATCTACCCCCTGTTGTTTGTACGTAAGTGTATGATTTAACTCTAAACTGTCTAAAGTGTCAAAGTTATACCATGTTCGTTGTTTTTACTTAATTCAACCTACGGTGTATTAATATAATCAATTAATACAAAATCCTAACCTAATTCCTTAATATTTGTAATATTTATTGTCTACTTTTATATTTTATACACTTAATGAATGACATTTTGAAATTCTATGTTAGCTTAATATTCTACCTACGGTATATATATATATATATTGTCAACGGCACTTTATTCATCGTTAATCTACTCTGGAACGGGTAAGTAAATTATATTATATTATATATAATCTCATTTTATTTAGTTTATTTATTAAAGAAATGCTTATTGAATTTTAGTAACAAAATATTCTTTGCATTAAGTATTTTTAAAAAAATACACTACACAGCATTTTGTACATTGTATGTTATTTTATGGTATGCAATAATTACTATAGATTACACCACCCAGTGTAAAATAGTATTCACTGTTTTTTATAATATTTTATTCTATATATTCTGATATACAGAACTTATACAGAACGAAGCACCTATGTTACTCGTTACTCAGATCAGCCTGACGCGACCCGCAATATTAGCAAGTACAATGTACAAGCACTATAGCGGCCTGTCTATCTTATCTCCAACCACTACTACTGGACGCAAGCAGCACGACCGGAGAGTCGACTCTCCACCGAGCCGATCATGGCATGGTGGGACGGGGGACTGTTTCGAGTAACAACGACAAGACGTACAACGGTCGGCGGAAAAGGCCGGTCGCAGAATCGATCATCGGACCATCAGACCGATAGCATATCGTCCGACGTTAAACTCATCGCCCGAGAGGCACATGTATTATTATTTGGTCGTAATATAATACATAATTTGTGACATCCATAAAGTGTTTGGTTATCACTTCAATCCATACCAGACAATTCGTCTGGACCACGGTAAACTTTTATTTAGTCACGGGCCAAATAATAAATAATAATGTACAATACATTCAGTATTAGTTAATAACAATAGGGGGGGGGGGGGTAAACCACAAGCGGAAGTAGGTGTACAAATATTATTAGGAAATACTTTGGAAGTACATTGAATTACACGGAATTCCGCGGAAGTACATGGAAATACATGGAAGTACCAAAATTAAATAATTATTATTTAAAGAAAACATCGTACCCACATGTGTTGTCTTCGTCTTACTAACGCATAATATATGTAGGTATATATAATATCCAGACACAATTATAAATAAAAAACAAAATATAAAGATTATAAAAAAAAAATTAAAAAAAAACATCTTTCCCTCCCTCGTCTGTATTTTACTATTTTCTTATCGCTCAGCGAGAGTGCGAAACATTTATATAAGTATATAAATAGTCTACGTAATACTATATTTTACTACGTAGACACTAGACACGTAGTATTACTATTACTATTACTATTACTATTTACTACACTACTACAAATGCGATAAGTTAAAAAAAATAAACACAAAAATAATAATATTATATTGACTGATGTGTGTAATAATGATTAAATTATATTCTATAGATTCTTGTTAGTAAATAATAATATTACGTTAAATAGTACGTCTCCATTTAAATATTTTTATAATTTCAAACAAATATTACCAACTTTCAATTCTGATTATTGATTATCCAGATGTCACATAATAAAAAAAATATTAAAGAATTTAGATACAAAACGATTATGTTGGTAAATATCTTGTTCTAATTGTCTCCTGTAAAATGGTGTTTTTGTGGGCTAGACCTTCGACACTCAGCCGTCTCGTTTTAAAGACTGCGAAACTTTCTTAGTAGTGACCGTATCCTTTCGTGTCCGTTATAATACAGCACATCAGCACAAATTCGTTTTTGACCAGTTAAACAGATAATTTTATTTTGAGTGGTAAGTCTTAAGGATTTATTTATTCGATTTTAGGTCTTACATAAAATATAATAATTATATTCAGTAGAATATAACTATATTATAAATATATAATATTAGATGTTGTCATGTAGAGTTGTAAAGTAAAAAGTACCCATGTACAGTTATCAAAACCGAACACATATTATCGAAAATAATAAAAAATAATTTATTCATTTGATTCAATTAATATTTAAAATTTTTAAATTATTCCAAAAATGTTAGTGTAAATAAAGAATTTATTATTTGAAACTAAAAACAAGAATACTAGATTAATTAATTAATTAATATTAGATTAGTACAAGATTACTCATAAGTTTGTCTACCGTGATTTTATTATTTTTGTTGTAATAATTCAAAAACGAATAACTGAGATAGGTACATGAAAATTATACCTACAGAACTAAGTTTAACTTGCTGACGTTGAATTATCTAATAATAATTCAGGGATTGGAACCGAAATCTTTATTTTAATATAAAAGTACCGGAACCGAACCGTACATTTTAAATTAAAAAGGTACTTTTAGGTTCAAAAATAAAATAATTTTATCTATCATAATTTTAAAGGTATTACTGTTTTGTGTATAATCTATGTATGATCATGTTATGTGTTTTCTAATATTTCTCACAAGAACTATTAATTAAACCTGTATTCTGGATAGGTATTTAAAATTTTTATATTTTTTGGTACCGAAATTATCTGGAACTAGAACCGAAATTATTTGGAACCTGTAACTTTATTTTTTTTCATAAAAGATCCAAAACCAAACCGGAACCGTTATTTTATTTTTGGAGAAGCGGTACCGGGACGGGCGGAACCCATAAATTCAAAAGGCTCCAGTCCCTGAATAAAATATTAATATATTTAAGATTCATATTGCAGAAGTAAAGGTAATGGTCTTACAATGATATATATATTATAATTTATAGGTATGTATTGATTTTACAATTTTTTAATTTTTTAAGTTCGAATTTTTACAAAATTAATCAAATTTTAAATTTAATAATTATTTTGTATTTAAAAATGTATAAAATGTTCAACATTTATAGCTGGCTTTTGAAAATAAAAAACAAGGTTCCACGTAAATATAGGTTATACCGGGTGTATCTTATGTCATTGTACGCGGGGTTTTTAACGATTATGGCACGATGATATATGGAATTTCGTTAAAACGAAAAAAGACGTGTTTCTTTATTTTTAACAGGCAATTTTTTTATAACAATTTCAAAATTTTTAAACACGCAGTTGTACCAATAGCAAAATCAACTTTATTTTTTCAAATGGCAACCACTATATTTTTTAATAGATTCTTACAAAGCTTTTTTTTGTTGAAAATTTTGATGGTTGAATCATCAATTTTGGCTCGTTAGTTTATAAACTATGGTCCTCTAAAGATTAGTAAAATATGCATTAATACTTTTAATTGAAATAATTGGTATAGGTTTAATTTACAAGCGCTAAACAATTTTTTCTTATAACTACCTTTTGATACACTTCAATAGTTGAATCAGTAATCTACTGATCCGCTCAGAAAAAAAAAATAATAACATAAACAAAATTGTTTGCAAACATAGTTCATTATTTTTATTTTAACATATGATCATAAAATTATAAAAATCAATATTATTATTTAAATTTATTATTATAATCGTAATTAATTACTTTACTTTTTTTTCATCACAGTAACTTTTCAGTTTTCTTACAATATCATAAATTTGAATTCTTTATTAGAAAGGTGGCTATGGTAATAATGGTAAATTGGTAAATAGTATTTGATTGTTGACTTTAATATGTGCAACGAAAAAGTGCAATATTTTGTGGTGTTCTTTTCGTAGTGGTATAAACTTGAAATTTTAACCATAGATTCCCTATAATGGTATCGCATGCAAAGTATGAACTTACGAGTTAGAATTCATCCCTTTCCATCGTTTTTAGTTTTGGATATTTACAAACACAACATTTTATTTCGTACTTTTAATAGTTAATTTAGAATATCATACAATCATAAAATAAGTAGTAGGTACTTTTGTTGTAATAATAATTATTATAATCATAATTTATTTATTTTAACAAATTGAAAAAAGTTTGAGTCAAATAGAGTTGGTAGATTTAACAGACAACGAAGTGGACGGGATCGGCTGGACATACAACTTAAAAAAAGTGTTTTTAATACTAAGGTAGTTTTTGTAATATTTTCATTCATTCTATCATTTGATGACGAATAAGAATGTGTACACCTAATAAATACACCATATTTTATAAATACATAAAATATTAAACCTTAAATCGTGGTAGTATCTTGGTAAATCAAGGACATATTAATTATTTAACCTCAAGTTCGTGATAACATGGCTTGATTAACAAAATATAATTATTTGAAATCATAGTTACCTCATTACTCACATTCACATAGGTATTTAAATTAATAGGCATTAAAAATTAAAATGATGAGCTTTTGTCAATAAAACATAATAAATATTAAATACCCAGTAGGTTCCTATAATCATGATAGTTTAGTATTATATAAATAATACTACAAATAATAAATTAAAATACTTACCTACCTTGCAATAAATAGTATATTATTTAATATTAAAAAGAATATTATTATACTTAAATATTAAACATTTTTTTTCCATCCTTCAGAGTAATCACCGTACATTAGAAAATCAAAAAGAAACTTAGAGTATTCTCAATAAAATATTGACCTAAAATTGCCGCCCCTAAAAATTTGTCGCCCTAGGCAACTGCCTACTTTGCCTGACGCTAAATCCGCCACTGCGTGCACGCTACGCCCCTGATATCATAAGACGTGATACTAGTATTTATAATCAATGGTTATTTTATATTTGAATAGACAATAGTACAATATAACTAACTTACATATTGTATACTTTATAGTACCTACTACCTACTTAATAGGTAAAACAAATAAATTAATAAATTATGAATAACGAATTCAGATATAAGATATATTATGTACTACCTATTTATTATATAGATTTGTGTCTATACCTAATTATATAGTTATATAATTTAAGCATATTATGTATGTACAAGAATTAATAGTGAAATTAGTACATAAATTGGTCCATTGGTGCAAAACTTTAAATGAAGTACTATTTATTATGTAGTTTGCACTTTAAGGAGGTAAAAATTCCTTATACTTAAAAAAATAAGGAAAGACGGTAACAAATATCTTTGAAAAATTAATACAAGGTTATTCAAATTTAACACATTCATTACAGTGATCCACTTGACACCTACTCAACAGCAGAACGAGTTATCGGTTTTTTTTAATTTACTAAATTAGCAATTGACAACAAAATATCACTTTAAGAAAAGTGTTTATCTGAAAATATTTTATTTTTGCTATGTTATATTTTATATAGATAGGTATAAAAAAACAATTATTTTATTTTTTTACAAATTTAGAAATAATAGAATATAACATGTCTGAGAAACGTGGACGAAAACGTAAAGTTGAAAGCGATGCTATAGATGCCGAGATCATAAAATGTAAAAATGATATTGTATCACAAGATAAACAAGGTTTGTAGTACAGTACTTAAATAATTTTTATTTTATTTATCAGAAATTATTTATTATTTATATTTTATATATATACATTTGAATATGCTTTGTCGATTAAAATAATATTATTTGCGTTGAATATTTTAATAGAAATAGCAGGTACTAAAGAAGATGTTTGGAAAACAATATCAGAAACAATAAATAGTACTTATGGCACGACTATCACTCCAGCTTCAGTTAGGATTCGAGTAGCATTAAATAGAAATGGACTCATGGAAAAATTAGGGTTGCCAATAATGAAAAAAAACGCATTAAATACTTTAGGACACAGTAAATTTTATCACTTAAGTTAAAATTTATTTTTAAGTTTTGCTAATTAGTAATTATTAATTATATTTACAGATAAAAATTATGTCACTGATAGCTCCTGCAGTAGTGATGAAAATGAAATGGATAAGAGAAACAACAAAAAAACAATACATTTTTCTATAACATTTTCTTCCGAAGAGTGGAAATGTATATCACCAAGACCAAAATCTTACATCGAAAAGAATGGCTCGCGAGATTACCTTATATTAACACCATTTGAATGGAGCAATTTAGTCCAGGAACACTTTTATTTACATACTGGATTGCCGTGTCCTATATCTTTTAAAAAAGCTCGAGTGTCTGAGTATGGAGAAAATTTTGTTTCTATACATGGTAGATGTAAAGAGTGTAACTCCACATTGCAAGGTTATGTTAAAGAAGTGCCTTCATTGAATGCTAGGTTAGTAAATTTAAATAAATTGTAGAAATGTATAAAATATTAGTTTTCATAAATTAAAGAACAATTATTTTTTGTTTAGAGTTGTAATGCAGTGTTCATATGTGGGTCAATTTGATATACTTCATTCAAAAAAACGACGACTCATGGGTTCTGAAATGAATCGAGTCTTGAATGCGACAAATAAACAAAAAGAAAATGCTTCTGTTTATATTCGATCTGAAGTGAATAGACTAATGAAAGAAGGTGAGTTGTGTAATATCTTAAATTATTATACAAAATTGTGTGTAAATATTCCTGATTTTGTAAAAAATTTAACTTTAAAAACTTATAGAAAAAATGTGGACTGTATCTTCGATATTAAATAAGCAGTGCCGTAGACAGGAATTTTATATGGGGGGGGGGGGGGGGGGGGGTTATTATAATAATAACATGTTATAGTAAATTAAGAAAAAATAACACATTATTTATATTTTTATATCTTTATTTTAGTGTCTTATAAGTTATAATATTTTAAATTTAAATTTAAATTTTAGATTCGGAGTGAAATGATTTTTATTTCGACCATTAGACGATACACAAAATACCTTACTTATAACCGATAACAACACAAACATCTAAAATATTATTAATAACTATTATTGATAAAATTTTTTTTTTAAATATATAAGATATACAGTATTAGCATTAGTAGTTTTAAATATTTGAAATAAATTTATAAACTTTCCAAGGGGGGGGGGGGTTTGAACCCCCTAAACCCCCCGTGTCTGCGGCCCTGTAAATAAGTGTAATAGTTATAGTTTATTTTAAAACTATAATATATAAAATATAGATGTTGTGTAATATATTGTATAATATAAGACTAAAGTGAAAAATTAGTACATAGAGACTAAAGTCCTAAAGAGTATGATATATTATGTTTTATTCAGGGCTTGAAATCTTAATCATAAACGATTTAAAATATCAATAAAAATTGTAATAAATCTTCTAAAATATTATAAATATAAAAAAAATTGAATTTTTTTTTTTAACAAAATTCAAAATTTCCATTGAAATTGAAAAAATTAAATCGATAATTTATATAAAATAATAATTGTTTTATGATTTTTATACACAAATCGACTTAAATATTAAAATTCAACAATAATAATTAAATAATAATAACTTCATCAATAAGTTATTAACTCATTAATAATATTTTATGGTTTATTTTCTTAACTTATGGACAGCATAGTATTAAATTTTCAATTCTTAGCTTTTGATAATAAAATATTTATACATTTTTAACTACCAAATAGTGAAAAATATTCATGATTTTGACGAATTTTTGTCAATATTTGAACTTCGAATAATAATAAAAAAAAATTGTGCCTATGTATTTTTATAATTTTTGAATGAGAGTTAGAACAAGTTATGTGGACCCTTCAATTAAATTTTCAAGTAATTTTTCCCAGCTAATTTTTTTTTTATCAACGTTTATAAAAAAAATAAAAAAAAAATTGATTATTTCAATTGTCTATAAATAGCTCAAAAAATATCAAAATACTTTGAAAATGTAACGGTGTATAGAGAACGCTAATCTAAACATTTGGTGAAAATTTCAAGTATTTACATAGATTAGTTTTTGAATTACAACGATATAAAAAATCGATTTTTTTGAAAACTGTTGAAAAATGTTTACTTTTGACCTCTATAATGCATCAAGGATATCCACTTTGCCATCGGAGACCACCCTCGAAGTTTGAAATTGAAGCATTATTTCGACTAGTTATGCTGTACACAGACACAAAAACAAAAAAAAAAAACACATCATTGTAAAATCAATACATTTATCACTCCGTTCAGAATCTAAAATATTTTTAAAATCTAATCAAAAATCAGAATACAGTTTATTCAATATTGTACTACGATACAAAAATCATAAACTTATAAAATCAGTATATTAATATTTTTAATTTATATCAGAAAAAAACTTATAACGATAAACAAATTTTAAATTAAAGTCAAAAGTTTTAATTTATATTTCAAGCCCTGGTTATTGAAATTTTTTTATTTAAAATAAGTGCTACATTTTTATAATAATTTGTATAGGGAATTGTGTTCCTGCTCAGATCCCTAATAGTTCTAGTATTAGAACGGCAAAATGTAGAGCGTTAAGAAAAGAAAGACTTCATACTGATCCTATAATTGCTCTTTTCATTATGAAACGGAATACTACGTACGGTGATACAATTCGTGATATTGGATATGACCACTTTTTTGTCCATTTTTGGAGTAACCTTCAGTTACAAATTTATAAGGAATTTTATTTGAAATCCAAAATCCCGTGTATGCAATTTGATGCCACTGGTGGATGCTGCAGAAAAATCAAAAGATTAGAACAACACCAAAGTAGTAATTTATTCCTTTATGAAGGCGTTATGGAAATAGAGAATAAAACTTTTACAGCATTATCAATGGTATCAGAGCAACACGATAATTTAGCTATATCTACGTGGTTGGATAGATGGCTAAGATGTGGTGTTCGTGCTCCAAAAATGACAGTTTGTGACCAGTCAATGGCTTTAATGTCAGCACTTGTTAAGTCATTTACACAATTCAAGTCATTGGAAGAGTATTTAGGTACGTGCTTTAAGCTGGTTTCAAATAGGTCTAATGATATAATACCTTATTGCTATATAAGAAATGATATAAACCATTTTATACATTTAATTTGTAAATGGGCTCCATTAAATAAATCTAAATATGCAAGAACAAAACCACTATATGTTAGATCAATGGCGCTTTTAATTTTTTGTAACACACTAGACGAAGCTAAACTTATATTAGAAGCAATTTTTAAAATAGCATTTAGTAAAAGTGATGGCCTTCTTGTGAATCCAACGGAAAATATCACAAAAACTCCTTGTGCGTTAAGTAAAACATTTCTTAAAAACCTCATTAAGGACAAAACGTCATATATACAAGTCTTTGACAAGTTTATTGATTCCAGTAGTACTGATGATGTACTTCAATGTGGTATAAACAACGATTATAATATACCTGAAATAGTTGGTAATTCTTTTAAAGAGTGGGCGTCTATCATAGCTGATAACTGCAAAGCTGCAGTGGAACATGTTGACGGCGAGGATGATAATGGTCAGTACATGCCAGAATTAGTTCCTTTAATTATAAATGTTATGAAATTATACCCATGTTGGTCTGGTATAATGACAAAGATATTTGGTTTTGGTGATGCCACAGTATCAAGTAGTCGCATAGAAAGTAATTTCAACCAAATTAAAAATGGTGTTTTTAAAAATGAAAATTTGCCAATAAGAGTAGACAATTTTGTAGAAAAACTCATACATTATTATAGAGGTGATCACTTACTTACAGCTAATTCGGTTAATACTATCCAACAAGAAAATAACAAATCACAAAAAAATTATTGTAATAAGCAACAATCTATAGAGATCTATAAAAATCACTCAATAAAAAATATCCCTTCAACTTATAAGGGTAACTATAATGTCGTTATTGAAAATAGCAAAAATAATGATGAAATTCATAATGTTGACCACAATGAAAACGGTAATGATAATAATAAAGAATATGAATTTGTTGAGTGTAATGATGAAGCTAATGATTATAATGACGAATATGACAAAGGTAATGATGCTAACGACAAATATGACAATGGTGACTTCAATAATAAATATTGTAATGACGAATATGAAAATGGTGACTACGGCAATAAAGGTAATGGTTACAACAACGAAGATGATAATGGTGACTATCATGATAATAGTAATGATGATAATGACGAAGTTGAAAATGGTGATTCCAATAGTAACAGTAATGACGATAATGTCAAATATGACAAAAGTAGTAACGACAATAATGGTAGTGCTGTTAGTAGTGATGATAACAACTATGAAAGTGATAACGGTGAAAAAACAAACGACGATGATGCTCCTACTTGCTTACCATGTAGAAATGGTGATTTTCCAAGTGGTATACACCGGTGTGTTTACTGTAATAAAGCAGTTCATTTGTTTGGTTGCTCAGTAAAAAATCCATTAAGTGAAGAAGGATTTGGCGAATCGCGGATTTGTCTAGTATGTGATAATAAAAATAAAGAGTCAATGGCAAATGAGATGTGGATGAAAAAAAAACCAGTGACAAATTTTCGATCCACCAAATCATACCTTGTTGCTCAGCCAGGATTTAATCATTTAAATTTGAATTTAAAAAATAAAGAAAATATTGTAGCGTTTCTGAAAAATAGCAATACTTTTCAAAATAAACCTCTTATTGTTAAAGGAATAGGCAAGGTAATTTTGACTAATAGTTGTTCTCCGGATTCCTTGTTGACTATCTTAGCATGTGCTGCTGCAGATAGTGAGATTTTCCACAAGTTTCTTTTAGAAAAATCAAAAAAAAACAAAACCTCGCAATTTGTTCTACAAATGATCAAAAGTAAAAGTGGAAAAAAAATATATAATGAGCGTATTAGATTATTAGCTCCACACTATGAATTTAATAATAACCATATTGTCAGCGACATTAAATTAATGGATGCAATGGATATTATTTCATCAACAGCCAGCAAATTATTAAAAGGTATACCATCATACATTAGACTTAACCGCTGTTCAGATTTTCTCTGTTCAGAATTTTCTTTGGACCACAGCTATGAAGTATTATCATTGACGGCTTATGAGGGAAAAATTAACGTCCAAGAAAAAATTAATAAATATTTCACAGAAAAAGAGTATATTGAGTGTCAAAGCTGCAAAAGTAATAGAATTATATCTATCAGCATGAAAAGTCATTTGTTGATAGAACTACTATCATTACCTAAAGGTATTTTATATATTTTAAATAATGATAAAAAGAAACAATTATTTTATATTGTAAAACAACTGTAATTTTTATACTGTTTAATGTCCTCAGATCTAGAAGCATCAACGAGCTTTAACACAAGCGATATTGGAGCAATCCAAAAAAATTATGCAGGAAAAGTTCAATTGCATTTAGACAGTATTGCAAAGACAATACAAATTTACAAGGAAGTTTATTATTTAAGAGGGGCTGTAGGATTTAGTGGTCAAGACCGGTGGGGCTTAAGAGTGACTGCAGGCCACTATAAGGCGTTTGCTTATAGATCCAATGATCAATGGGAAGTTTATGATGACCTAAAAGATGGAGTATCGTTAGCAACAAAAAATAAAGTGAACATTGAAATGTTATTGTATACAAAATAAATTGTATAAAATATATAAAGTTAATATTTTAATACTACTTATATTTTATTTATCCGATTCCAAATAATACATGTACTTTAACAGTTTAAAAAGCAAGTGACATTGAAGTAAAAAAAAAAAATGAAAAAAGGTGAGTAACGCTCTGCTAAACAGTAGGTGTGATTAACATGATTATAATACATCAAAATAGCAGAAATAAATATCGTAAATATGTAAATGATAATAATATTTATAATAAAAGTATAATTAATACAATAATTATAAGTGGCATAAAATGTAAGTTGTTAAAAAAGGTAATATAGTATACAATTATATTTGCTATTATATATATAATATAAATTATAAAGATATTAGGTATTGTAATTTGTAACATAAAAAATGCAAATAATAAAAAAATTGTATAAAATGATAGGTAAAATTTATAAAAATAATAAAAACAATAATTATAATTACACTTACACAAATCTAAAATTAAGCACTTTGATCAAATACTCTCTTTGTACCAGGTGAACCATTATTTTTAATACAATTTTTATTATTTTTTATGCTATGATTATTACTTACCTATTTACCTCCTCCATTTTACGGGTTGGTATTATAAACCTGAATATAAAATATGTAAGTGTATCCGCCACCGGTATATTATATTGAGAGCAAATGGTACCTTTGGTTGAGGGTAACTGGTCAACACCCGGTCTGTACGCATATATAATATTATAACTAATTATTTTATGATAATATTGTAAATAAAGTAATTTATTATAATTTATAGGTAGGATGCAATCATTTTCCCGAAAAACTTGGATTTTAAAATGCAAAATATAATAAAATTATAAAATAAAATAATAGATGTACATAAAATGTTTCAAGTATCACCACACAAATATTATTGTGAAAAAAATTGTACCTATGCAGTATATGTATTTTCATATTTTTAAATTAACAATAACAACTTAAAGTAGAGGACCTTGTATAAAATTGTCAAGCTTTTTAACATGCCAACATTTTGAGCTGTTATCTTGTACATTTAATTAAATAACGTTACCCTGGCACCCGGAACTTGTATCGCCGTTTTCCGGGGCACCGATGTGGTTACAAAATTTTTTTTGCGGTTACAAAATGTTACATAATAAATAACATAATACCTCACAGTTTTCAAGTCGAAATTTTAATTATTTAATGTTTGGGGTGCTGGGGTAACGTTACCCTGGCACCCGGAACTTGTATCGCCGTTTTCCGGGACACCGATGTGGTTACAAAATTTTTTTTTGCGGTTACAAAATGTTACATAATAAATAACATAATACCACACAGTTTTCAAGTCGAAATTTTAATTATTTAATGTTTGGGGTGCTGGGATAACGTTACCCTGGCACCCGGAACTTGTATCGCCGTTTTCCGGGGCACCGATGTGGTTACAAAATTTTTTTTTGCGGTTACAAAATGTTACATAATAAATAACATAATACCTCACAGTTTTCAAGTCGAAATTTTAATTATTTAATGTTTGGGGTGCTGGGGTAACGTTACCCTGGCACCCGGAATTTGTATCGCCGTTTTCCGGGGCACCGATGTGGTTACAAAATTTTTTTTTGCGGTTACAAAATGTTACATAATAAATAACATAATACCACACAGTTTTCAAGTCGAAATTTTAATTATTTAATGTTTGGGGTGCTGGGGTAACGTTACCCTGGCACCCGGAACTTGTATCGCCGTTTTCCGGGGCACCGATGTGGTTACAAAATTTTTTTTTGCGGTTACAAAATGTTACATAATAAATAACATAATACCTCACAGTTTTCAAGTCGAAATTTTAATTATTTAATGTTTGGGGTGCTGGGGTAACGTTACCCTGGCACCCGGAATTTGTATCGCCGTTTTCCGGGGCACCGATGTGGTTACAAAATTTTTTTTTGCGGTTACAAAATGTTACATAATAAATAACATAATACCACACAGTTTTCAAGTCGAAATTTTAATTATTTAATGTTTGGGGTGCTGGGGTAACGTTACCCTGGCACCCGGAACTTGTATCGCCGTTTTCCGGGGCACCGATGTGGTTACAAAATTTTTTTTTGCGGTTACAAAATGTTACATAATAAATAACATAATACCACACAGTTTTCAAGTCGAAATTTTAATTATTTAATGTTTGGGGTGCTGGGGTAACGTTACCCTGGCACCCGGAACTTGTATCGCCGTTTTCCGGGGCACCGATGTGGTTACAAAATTTTTTTTTGCGGTTACAAAATGTTACATAATAAATAACATAATACCACACAGTTTTCAAGTCAAAATTTTGAACTTGGGGTGCCAGGGTAACACACCTTGGGAAATGTTTGAATTTTTCAAGTAAACTGATTTTGAATTGCACTTGGAATTCATTTGCAATTTAAAGTCTGCCCTGAAAACAACAAAAGTAAAAGTGGCCACCACTAGTGACTTCGCAGAATAAATCGTCATGATACATGTTGGTGAATGCGTTGATACATGGGTTGTGCCAATGGAGGATGAAGAACCACTAACACTAGAAGTTAAAGATTTAGAACCAAAACTCGATGACGATGAGGACGAAGACACTATACTAAGTGACATTATTTGGTCGTTTGGTGAACATAATACGGTTGATACCGTTTGCACCATGGAGGTAGCGGTGATGCTGCAGAAGTTGTACTTTTGCCCTCAGAGACGTATGGATCAGCCGAGCAGGGCGGTGTACTGCAGCATTCTGGCGACGACGTGCAGGTGTAGCATGACAAGGCAGACAAGATTCCGTCTGTGAGAATTGAAGAAGAGAGGGACACAGCTACGCTGGACAGGAAGAAAGAACGGGAGACAACCACTGCAGTTACAAGCAACACTTCAAGTGGTAGGACAAGGTGGTTTTTCACTGCCACATGGAGAGGCGCAAATCTTCTGCTGCTGTGGGGTTGTTGCCGAAGAACTTGAAACTCGCAGTGTAGTACCTCCTCCCCCCCCCCAGATGAAGACACCTAGACAAGGTACAATATTTTATGATATCATTGTGATTAATTTTAGTATTAGACGTTAGTAGGTAGGTATCTACTAAAATAGGTTAAATTTCTTTTTGCCAAAAAATCAAATTTGAAAATGTCATTGTGTAGACTTATAAAATATAATAATATACTCTAAAAGTTTCATATACCCACGAATAATATTTTTAAATTACAACAAAATAACTAATGATGTCGATGACGGGAATCGTTACAACTGTTTATGAGAATATTTGTTTTAACCTTTGAATCCTTAGCTACAAAAATTGAACATCTTATCTTTAATATTTATCAACTGCTATTAGTTGTAAAAAATTGTCTTTTATTAAACAACAAAAATACTTTATTTTTTATTTTGGTTATTTATTCGTGTACTTATATTACTTGAATAGACGTATAAACCATTATAGTTTTAAAAAATGTTCAATAAATTCAATTACACAATATTATTATATATATTTTATATTTATTTATTTATTTATTTATTTATTTATTTATTGACTTAATACCACGTACTTTTTCAAAATAAACCGGTCAGTTCTGTTTATTTACATTTTATATACGTTATTGTTAACGTAATTGGCTTTTAACCAACAAAGTATTTACCCGGGTCGCAATTTTCATAAAAACTTAATACTCTTAAGGAGTTCACCTGCCGAACCCAAATATTTAATAAATATATCATGTAGGTGAATAGGTATATTTTTATTTAGACACTCGAATTTCCAATTTTGACCAAATTGAATACCTAAACATGGATGAACGATTTTAGTTATTTTAACTTAAATTAAAAATTTTCGCGGAGACTTGCAATGTTTTGCGTATATAATCACATTTTACTTCATGCAATGGCATATTCAAAATGTTTAGATTAATTTAAGCAATATTGCCTATTTATATAGTTTATACCGTATTACTGATGACTGATAAGTTGTAAAATAAATATCTATGATAGTTAATAGCAATGTAAATATATGATATAATGTACTTAGTAACATAGGCGACTGACCAGAATCTCCGCTCAGAATTCGTTTTTTGTATTTCTTTATGATTTATCATTTAAATTTAAATCGAACACATCCGAGTACAGTGACCTTTCTACTCAACTCAATTACGAGGTAAATACACTTAACTCATATTATACAGTACAACAAAAAGCTCTTTTCCCATTTTTTTTTGTTTGCTGCATTTCTTTAATTTTTTCTCGTATGTATATCGTATACTATGTATATTCTATATATGTTTATTTTTCCATAATTTTTTCTACTTTCTGTTTCTTGACTTCTCTATAAATCGTCGATTATATTGACGCTTAACTGATATGTTATAATGTATCACTTTTCCTGTTTTTTTTTAAATGTTCTGGTACTGAATTTACGCTGTAAATGGCTGTGACCTTTTTTGGGGGACGCCATTTTCCTATACTCTGGTTATTACCATAAGGTATGACCAAACAATTTCAGACGATCGGCGTTGCAATCGTCAGTGGTCGTTACGAATAACTATTGTATTTGTCGATGAGTAAATATTAAGATAAAAAACGTTTTGTATACGGATATCTTTAAACGATGAAATGTACGCAATTATGTTAATAAGTAAATATAAGTAAAGTTAGACTAGGGTTGCCATAGTTTCATGAAGCAAATAACGGGAAAGAGCAAAAAAATAAAATAAAATAAAATTATCGAATCATATTACCTACCTCATGTATTAATAAAAACAACATATTATTTTATAATACCCATTTTACCATGAAAAAATAATAAAAATCTTGATCGAAAATTGTATTTATTCTTTAAAAAATTATACATTTTAAAATGAACACTTTTTTTTAATCATCAAAAATATTATGTTTCAAATTCATTTCTACCTCTTATTATAAAATCCAGTTTCAGAAAACATGACATTTTCTTTTCAGTGCCATAATGACTAAAAGTTACTACTGGTATAATAAATTATAGTTTAATAGTCATTACTCATTAGTCTGTAACACCCGTGTCGACATCGGTAAAATATAAAATTAAAACACGTAAACCGGTAACACGCCTAACAGTGCACACGCGCTTGTATGTGGTTCATACCCACTTTGCCGAATCCCAATTCGCCGACAACTCAATTTACCGACAAATATACCAGTTTTAAAATATTTTTAAAATATTCCCTTTTCGCCGACAGTCTAGTTTGCCGACGTCTCGGTTCGCCGACAAATTATTAATAAAGTTTTAATTTTCCCGATTCGCCGACAGTTGACAATGATCTTATCGAAAACGGATAAGAGGTTCATTTGGATATAACATAGAAATAAAAGGATGCCTTTTTCATTTTGGGCAATCTATATGGCGACAAGTACAAAAATATGGAATCATTTCAACACCGATAGGACACGTACAGCTAACCACCTAGAAGGTTGGCATGCAGCTTTAAACCGGAGTATAAGTCGACCAAAGCCGAACATATTTGTGTTGATAACTGAAATAAAAAATCAACAACAAAATTTTGAACTTGATCTACAAGCCCAGAAAAACGGTAATCTAAAACCACTAAATAAAATGAAATTTCGAAAGCTTGAAGAAAGATTAAAAAATGCAAAGGATAGGTAAATATTATAAAATAATTAATTTTTACATGTATAATAGTTATTATATAATTAGTTTTTATTTTTTTCAGATTAAAATCAGAAGAAATTTCTTTAATAGAGTATGTCGATATAATAAAATATCATATAATCATACAATAATTTTATAACTTTTTTTATTTATATTTACTTTTAGATTCTGAGTGAAACGATGAATGTATTGATTTTACAATGATGTGTGTTTTTTTTTTTATTTTTTTTTTTATTTTTTTTTTAATTTTTTTATTTTTTTTTTTATTTTTGTGTCTGTCATCACGTTTTAGGACAGTAAAAGTGCTTGGATTTTCTTCATCAGTAGCTTTTCTGATAGGAAAGTGAATCTAGTTGGTACTTTGGGGGGTCAAAAGTATAAATTTCCCAGTAGTTTTCACAAGCGCCGGGAAAAACAACATAAAAATTAAGGAAAAACGGGAATTTTTACGCAAAATTGGTTTTCCAAAAAATCGATTTTGGTTATTGGTGTAACTCTAAAACAAATGAACGTATATACATGAAATTTTCACTGGTTGTTTTTAATTGCATTTTCTATACACGATAACATTTTCAAAATATTTTGATTTATTTTGAACTGTTTAGGGACATTTTCATTTTCCATTTTTTTTTAGTTTTTTTTCTAAAAATATCAATAAAATTTTATTTGTTGGTTGCGAAAGCTTGAAAATTTAATAGAAGGCTCCTAATATGTTGTTTCAAAGGCAGATGAAAAATATTAAAAATCCTTAGTCACAATTTTTTTTTATAAGCATTTAAAGTTCAAAAATTTACAAAATATGGAAAAATCACGAAAATTAGCAAATTATTTTGAGTTAAGAATTCGTAAAATTTTTTCTTTTTAAATCTAAGATTTTAAAATGAAACACAAGATTCCTTATAAGATTATCTACCTTTATCAATAAAAAAATCTCTACCGGACAGTCAAGTTTAATTTTTATGAGCGTTTGAAATTCAAATTTTTACAACATTGGATATTCACTCGATTACTCATGTAGCGATTTCCTTATTTTGTTGTTATTCATAAACGAATAACTATAGATACATGAAAATTTCACTGAATGTTTATATTAGCGTTTCCTATACACCATACAATTTTGAAAATATTTTGACTCTTTTTGAGCTATTTACGAATATTTTCATTTTTCAATTTTTTTAGTTTTTTTTCTATAAATATCAATAAAGTTTTATCTGTTAGGCCAAAAAGTGTAAAAATTTAATACAAGGCTCCTGGTATATTGTTACAATATCAGTTGAAAAATATTAAAAATACATAGGCACGATTTTTTTTTATAAGCATTTAAAGTTGGAATTTTGACAAAATTTATCAAAATCTCGAAAATTATCAATCGTTGGAATTAAAAAATTATAAAATGTTCAGTTTTTATAACTAAGAGTTGAAAATTTAAAACAAAGATTCTCTTAAATAATTCATACTGTAACCAAAAAATCTAAAAAATATATAAACACACTTATTTTTTACAGACATTTTAATTCAAATTTAGACAAAATTTCATATTTAAACCAAGAATTACGATTTTAGTTATTTTGTTGTGATTGAATAATATTATTTGTGGGTACTTGAAACTTCTAAAGTGTACTATTATATATCTATGATAGTATCACGGTTTTTGTTGATGTATAACGCGTTATATGTATCTAATGGATATTGTGATATGATTAGTTTGGAATTTATTATAGCCTATAGGTACCTATTATAGGTCAATTTTTTGTTTAATACCATAGATATGTATATAATATGTCTTATACATAGACTGACATACCGTCACCGCTCAGAATCGTTTTTCTTATACAATGATATTATATCATTGAATTCAAATTTAATACCATCCATTATACAGTGACCCACTTGTAACCTACTGTACAGCAGAGCGACACCCACTTGCCCACCTTTTTTATATATATATAATATTATATTTATAACATATCTACTGACCATATTTTATACATGAATAATATTTATAATTACTTTTAGTTTTATATAATATATATCTACTGATCATTTATATATGAACAATAATTTATACTTATTTTTATCTACTGACCGTTTATACATGAACAATTTATATTTACTTTTATTTTATATATAATAATTAAATAATGTATCTACTGACTTAATGTATTAATAATCATTTATACATGATACATTTGTATTTACTTTTATTTTTTAATAAGTCGGCGAATTGGGAGTCGGCAAATTGGGAACATGTAAATAAATAGTCGGCGAACTGGGGTGTCGGCGAATTGAAAGTCGGCAAACTGGGATGTCGGCGAATTGGGATTCGGCAAATTGGGTTTCGGCGACGTGGGAAGACACCCTTGTATGTTCCCATCGAATTTTCTCAATGTTATTAATTTATAATTAGCCTATAGATTTGACATCAATATTTTATCCAGTATCACATTTGACCCTCAATTAAAATTATTATTCGAAAACATTTTTGAAATTTAACAATTTTCAATTTCTCCCAAACACCAAAACCGGGACATAAAGCGTCCCGAAATGTATTTAACTTCCGGTTTTCCGGCAACCCTATGTTAACCGTTTTTTTATTGTCGATTAATATAAAAGTGTAAATTAATATTGCCATACGGGTGTATTCATGGACCGTTATATTTATTATATAATCCTATATTACAGTATTTAATAATAATATTATAATACTAATATATTATATAATACTAGCTGATCCCCGATCACTTCATTGCCCGTAAAGAAAAATTGTGATTGTTCAACTCCTTTTGGGTGCAACTCAATCTCCCCGGTATAATGTGCGAAAATTTGATTTTATGTATTATGCACTTGCACCTTATCCACCCTATTATTAACCAATGGCAACCAAATACTAAATACCTGTACTAGTTTATTAATATTTATTTATTTCTCCTATAACCAATAGCAACCATTAATAAACAAAAATTTCTGACCCAGCAAACGTTGTTTTTTATATAAATAAATATAAATAATATAATTTTTCTGGTCAGGTGGCACTGCTGGGAGCCTTCCTATTAATGTTACTATTTTTATGTCAAATGTTCTTATGTTACCACACTTACTCATTATACTTTGCTTTGTACAGACTGTAAATATACTTTTATTAAATAAAAAAAAAATAATAATAATAATAATATAATTTCCTTGGAACTTTTTGAGTCTTTCTGGCATTGTTTATTGTAACACACACACACACAAATTGACAAAATTAAAATCGGTCGAGCCGTTTCGGATGCGTAATTTTAAATCGTGTCACGGTGGCTCCTCGATATGCCGTTATCATTATATCGAGGAGCCACCGTGACACGATTTAAAATTACGCGTTTCGGATAAATACGTGATTTTAACATTATTATTTTCGTTACGTGGTCGTCCGAGTTACCACCATGATTTTGCACCTGATTGTACCTGAATAACCAATAGCAACCATTTATAAACAAAAATGTTCACAGTAAATCTCAAAATCCCTGTTTTAGCACTTTTACACCCTGATAGGTGGTAGGAGGGTGGAAAATAATTTACGGCCTATTATCAGACCTACTGAATATAATATACACACAGAAATTCATAAGAATCGGTCAAGCCGTTACGGAGGAGTGGGTCCACTAATGGTCACTAATGTCGACACTATAACACGAGAATTTTATATAGGTATTAGATTTAATATATAAGGACAATTCATACATGCAAATCACTTTGGCTCCTGTCAAAAATCTCTTTTTTTCAACGCTCTGTATAATATTTATACTTTTGTTTTCGAGCGTTTGACGTATTATACATATATAGTAGCAAACGGATATATTACAGCTCATATGGTGTCACATATATTATATTCTTATAATCTTATGTACCTATGTATATAATATAATATAATGCGATGTACTTGTATTACTATGGCTGGTATGTTTAGTATTGTAATCACCATAATTTTGACTTCTATACATAAACGTTATAATAATATCATAATTTATTAGGCTCCTCGATAATTATTCCGTACAAATCTGCCAGATAGGTTTTTGTTCGGATTAAGCGAAATTGAGCGAAATAATTTGAAAACAGGATTAAGCTATATGTGCGATTTTAGTGATGATAGGATATTATTAAAAGTTTCTCTGTAGAATAATATTTAATATCAAATTATAAGATTAATTTTAAACCATTTTAACTATTTACTAAACGTGTAAGACGAACAATTTCCCGAATATTATTATATAGTCACGTCTTTCATTTTACGGCATCTGCGCACACAGAACAAACTATATATTATAATCATATTCACGTTATATTTTGTATAATTGACTAACGAGTTTTTATTTAAAATATATATTTTAACGATTTTTTAGTCGTTAAATCTCTAACAATTGATTATACACTTGACATAACGAAAAAAAATGAAACAATATTTTTTTGTGTTCACAAAATATGTTTACTAATTACAAAAACAAAATAGCACGAAAAGGTATAAACAATAATTATTTTCGAAAAGAAAACAGTATTTAGTTTGAAAAAAATTAGTACATTAGCTATCAATATAATATTTTACATTCTTATGTTCATAATAATAAAAAAGAGAAGGGAAAAAAAATCGAAATTTATATGTGAACAGTTTGACAATTTTAGATAATTTAAGGAAATTTAAAGGAAAAAAAATAAGGTTGGACAGGAGACACAATAAACAAGGGGGGGGCAGTAGCGGATCCAGAAGTCACCCAAGGTGGGGGCGAATTTTCAAAAATTAAATTGTCTTTTTGTTTAGCCAAATATTATAATAGAAAATAACGTTAAAAAGACAGCCTACGGGAGAAAGCTCCTTTACCCCCTCCCCTTGTATCCGCCACTGTGGGGGGATGTGAGATGGCGAATTGGTGTGGATATGCAGTGTTGTTGGCCACTGATCTCCTTTCGCGTTCTTACGACCTGTCCCACGAGTTGACGAGTGTCGCTGGTGCATTTGCTCG